GTTGAATCTTTGCTTTGACCAATGAACCAAACATGTGTCGCTCTTTGAGTTGCTCTTCTTCCACAATCAAATTATCCTTCTCTCTCTCATTCCCCCCTGTTTCTCACTGCCAGCAATACATTGGGGTTTACATTCCCAGACATAAATTCCAAGGCAGGTAGTCCTCAACAAGTGATGATGGAGGCAACAAGATTGTGAGTGATAGGCAACAAGATTGTGAGTGATGGGAAGAGTGACAATGAAGGAGTAGCAAAGTTAAAGGCAATCGAGAGAGGAAGCTAGAAATGGGAACACAACGTCGATAAAAGGACAAAGGAAAGGACAGTGATGACAGAGGGAGTTGGAGAGTCCTTTTCTTCTCTCCTTGTCTTCCTCGTTCATGGTTGCTTTCTTTAATTTGTTTGGAATAGTCTAAATCTGTTTTAAAGGCAAGCAATAGCAGTAGCAGTATTTTAGAATCTTCTTTGTTCTTTGTGGAGCATTCTATAAAGTTGTTTCCTTTCCTTCTTACCCTTAATTTGTTTTTTTATGTGTTTGGCTGCCGAAACTCTCAGCTAGATTACTTCTGGGAAAACAATATAAATCTAAAGATCTTAAACCCTAATTTGCATGAATCTCAAACCTCCCTTTTAATTAACTATCAGAATCCACCCTTTGTAGTGAAACCACTTCCTCGCACTCAGAGGAGGAAGAGAAGCTCTTGTTGGTGTTGTTGGTTGTGTTGTTGCTTTCTTTCTCGAGAAGGCTTGAAGGAATGGTTCTCCCATTTGTCATCGGAGATTTCATAGAAATCACGCTTCATCGCCGTGACTTGGATATGAATGGAAAATGTGTGCCCTATAAGAGCTCCGGATGTTGAAGAAGAAAGACTCAAGTGAAGGAGCTGGAAAGTCCCCATTTGTTCAGGGAGCGTTTCAAAGTCAGGAGGAGTAATGGAAATTAGAATTGAAGGTGAGAAACAAAGGGGGAGAGACAAGAGAGGGAGGGGAGGGGAGAGAGAGAGGAATAATTTTTTTAAATTAAAAAAGGCTAACAAAAGCTTGATTACAAAATAAAATTAAACATTGCAAAGAAATAAATCTCTGTCGTACATGATAGCAGAGGCATATTCAAAAAGAATAACATCATAACATGAGCTTAAAAAGGAGCTTTAGTGACCATTTCAAGTTAGCATATTAGCACATGCGATCCCTTCTCCACGAGAGTGATGAAGCTCAAAGTCAAAAAGAAAGATCAAATAGCATCGAATGCCTTGAATTATCGACCATAATGGGTGATTAGAATTGTCATCTCTAAATATGAGATTCATAGCTTCTGAGGAATCAATGAACATGCGAACAAATGAAAGTTCATACTAAAGGCAAATTTAAATACTAACTACAATTGAGCAAAGTTTAGCTTCAATACAAGAGATGAGAGAGGAATAATTTGACTGTGGAATAAAAGCAACTCAAGGAGCCACACGGGTGTGTGGTTTATTAGTAACGGATGTCTAGATTAATAGTGAAGCAATATTGCATACTTTTTACAAGTTTTGGAGCAATATTACTTTTAAAAAATATTTAAAATATTAGGTGCCTCTTACAAGAATGTTTCAAAGCACTGTTACCCTTTAACCCAAACGAAAATAAATCAACTTTTAAATTAGTTTAATTTTAATATGATCCCTTTTGTTCTTTTGTTTTAAAATTTTTTGAGTTTTTTTCTATTTAAATAATTACACTTCTTTTTATATGATTGCTATTAATATTCCATTATCAATGTTATAGTTGATATTAACCATGTTTACTTGCATCTTTAAATAATAAAAACTAAATTAATAGTCAAAATAAATTTAAAAAGATTAAATTGATAAAAATTAAACTTAAGAACTCAAATAAATAGTCAAGACAAATTTAAGAAATTAAAAATTTCATCATCTCTCATTTTTCTAAGGCATTTGATTAACTTATGATAACGTTTGTACATGGGTATACATCTGTGTCGGTTAAAATCAGAGTGCATTTTTATTTTCTTTGCACTCTGTGTTTATATAGCTGAAAACAAGGGTAATTATTAGTAATTTTTTTAATAAAATTTGTGTGTGTGGTGGGGGCTGCATGTATATCTGTACGATCAATACTCAAGATAGGATGACATCAACCTATATTAGGGCTGCACAAATACCGGACTGGACCGGGTTGGATGTCAACCCGAAGTCTAGTCTGAATGGAGACCGGGCTAGAATTTTCAGTCCAAAGACTGGTCTAGTCTTGTTGGACCCGGGACCTGGACCGGGTTGGACTTGGTCCACCGGGTTACTAGACCAGTTCAGTTTCTTGAATCCAACTATCTTAAAAAAAAAAAAGGTCCTCATATCCCCTTTCCTATTCACTTGTATCAATATCATAAGCTTACTACCGTTTGAGTTTCAAAGCAAGCACTATTTAATTGCACATGATTCTTGTTATGAGATTAATTATGTTTCTTTCAGTTTTTTAGAGTATAAATAATCATCTTTCTCGCGTATTATATGAAGTACAAAAAAGGTGTCATACTATTCAATACCTATAAATATTACTACTGTTTTTTTTATTCTTGCAAGTGTCAAAGAGTTAGTTAGAGATTTGTGTTAATTATAAATGTAAGATTTCCATTTTTTTTGTCTCTTGTATTTTATTTTTGTCTAAATTACCCTATAATCATATTTTCATGCGATATGGAGAAATGGAGAAATGACAAATGAGGCTATCAGAGACTTTAGAGTTCAGAGACCGAGTCTGAAGCATGCACGTGAGGTGTGAGGGTACTGTTACTGGGCTCAACTAAGTAAGATCTTTTTTTTTTGTAAATAATATAATTATTTAATATTTAATATTAAAAAAATAACCTGGACCGGGCCGGACTGATTGGTCCGAAAGAGCAGTCTCTAGTCTGGTCTGACCCGTATGTGCAGTCTGACCCGTTCAGTCCAGTCTTTTGTTCGGGTTGAATTTTTCAAGACCGGGTTGGACCGGGTCACACCGGGTCGGACCAAACAGACCGAGTTTGAAATTTTTCTGCACAGCCCTAACCTATATCCCATCCCGACTCAAAAATTGTTTTTTTTTTTTTTCCAAGCTAGAATCAACTCGTGATGATTGATACATACACACACACACCGGCGCTCGTTAAGTTTTATCACTAGTACAAAATAATCTATTAACGAAAACTCCCTAACGCTAGCGGGGTTTTTATGCGTCTTGATTTGACTTACTTTTTTAGGAGTGGTTATGAAATCCCGGTCCTGATCGGTATATTTCCAATACTGATCATGTCAGAATGGGTTGATCATGACTTGAAAAAAATCTGAATAGGACAACAAAACTAGAACAAAATTTGAGTCGAGTAGGGACAAGGGTTGAGTATCAATACCCACTTTTCCAACCAAACAAAAAAAAATCATGCATATCAGCTGTTAAAATTGCACCATCATCATCGTCATCTAGCCATCAGGACTCAGGGTGAACTGTACCTATATATTTTTTTGTCAGTGAAAATTAATATACTTCTAGAATTTGGGCTGGACCTAAAATTCAAATAGGTTGAAGCTTTGAGGATGAGATGATTTTATAATAAAACAAGAGCATGCTTATATGTGTGTATGATAATTTAAATGAAAATTAAATGAAATAAATTTAAGGATTATATTGTAGATTAAGATGTTAGAATAATACATATACAATATCAAAGTGGATCCGTTCTTGTAAATTCCGTTGTTTAATTTTTCATTTTCAAAGTCCATGTACCTCCTCCGTCTTGATTTGTTAAAATCACAGGAATGAAAACAACTAGGCTATTAAATTAATTTAAATTTTATCAATATAATCTCAATATGTTAAGTTTTATTCTTTTGTTTTTTAAAAAGATTTATTTTTAGTGGTGGTGGTCATTTGACTAGTGACATTATGATGGATTTTATTTGTTCTATTTTAGATCAGATTGACCGAAGTTGAATTTATTATATATAATATAATGATTATCATTAATGAGATACTATGTTTTACTATCTTAATTTCACTAATTTATATTTCTAATTAAATCTAAATCTAATTATTGTGCATGATATATATTGTTAGTATACTAAATATGATATCTTATAAACAAATCTTATAATATATAATAATTCTATTAAAGAAAAAAATTAATATATCTTATAAATATATATTTCTTGTTAATATGATAGGATAGAAATAATATATCCTGTATGAGTTTATTGAAAATTTTTTTATTATTTATTGATATCTGATATTATCTTTTCAATAATAAAAAGAAAAACTTTTTAGTTATTTAAAAATAATAAAAAACAAGTAATTTTCAGATAGTTTAGAGATTTTTAGATCTATTAGTGATTTTATAAAAAGCAGACAATATTTTATGTACAACAATAAAAAAATTAATTATTAGTTAGTTATTTTAAAATTTTATAATATTTTTTATTAATTTTTTATTCTAATTATTTGAAAAATTTATGATATCTTTTGTATTTTGCATTTTTATGTCATTCTCTCTCATTTATTGTATTTGATAATTTTTAGAAGCTATTTGAAGTAACTACTTTAAATAATTAAAAATATGTTTTTTTAAGATTGTGATTATTTTCAAAATTTCAAACAAACATTATAAAAACTCATAAAATATTTTTAAATAAATAAGTAACTTTTTATAAAAAAACAAGAAAGAAACAAACAAGGCCCTTTACCTTTTTGTATTTAAATGTAATTGGATGACTAGTGAGATAACGATTAATTATTTTATTAGACCCGAATACATCATCATTTATTATATATAATGCTCATCATTAATGATAGATTTTTTTTCCCTATCCTAACGGCACTCATTCAAAATTTTAAATTTAGACTTCTAATTCTAATGATTGTGTATATAAATATATATGGGTGTGTTGTGAAAGAACAGGCATACACATACATAATAATTCAGTCGAAAAACAACCCATTAGGTGTTACTTGGGAAAGGAGACAATGTGTGGTGGTGAGCGTGGACGACGAGGACAAGCATGCAACATTCTCATGGTCCTTGTGTTGGCGCTCTGTTTATGCTCCTTATTCTTCTGTTTATTTCCCGTCATTTCTTTATCCAACCTCGAGTTCTACGCAACAGAGGCCTCCCTTACACAGTTTAATCGCACCACAAGCAGAGACAACAACAATAACACATACACTAATCTCTTTTACAACTTGACAGCCAGCATCTCAGTGAAAAACCCTAGCTTATTCACACGGGTCGATTTGAGCAGCATCACAGCCTCTGCTTGGTACAAGCAGAGAAAGTTAACGTCTTTGAGATTGGCACCTCTTGTTATGCGCCACAAGAAGACCAACGTTCTGGAACCAGTCGTGTTCCAGGGTCGGAGAGTTGATGAACTTTGCCTGGAGGTTGATGATAACCGAGAGGCAAGTGCTGGGATTTATGAGATCGACGTGGGTTTGGATCTTCGGATCGTAGTAAGGGATCCATTGAGCTTGTGGCCTGATGACCGGGTCAGGCCACCGGTGGTGTGGTGTCGCCTGAGAGTTCCTTTGGTTTCGAATAATGGCTGTGAATCGGTTGTGCCTTTCGATGTCACTCAATGTTCATTATTTGGAGGAAGGCATTTTTATTGGAACCGTTATTATATGTATGGAAACTGATTCCGACAGGATAGCCTTCTGTAACTAGAAATTCTAGTCACGTTTTCTTATTTCAAAGAAATGAAATGAAATGCATTAACAAAATACAAGTAAAAATAAGATGATCAATCATGAGTCATGAAATTTTGAAGGATACGATGATTCTTACATTTATAGTATATATTAATGAATTTTATTATCTTTATCATAAAAATAAGGAGGATTTAGTTTATTTTTATATATCTTAATTTTTTCAATCCATTTTATTCCATTTCTTTTTAATAACTAAATGTGATCTCAGTTCTTATAATCCTAGTTTTTTTCTTCTGGGGCTTATTTTTATGATTGTTTGCAGTAGAAAAAATCGTGCATAATTTGATAAAGTTATAATATTATCTAGACATTAAGACTAGGAGTGAACTGTCAACTCAAATTCGTGAATTTTTTATTTATAAAAAATGATTTATTATTTAATTCTTCTAAAAAAATTTTATATTTAACGTATTTTATTATTTACAGATCTTACTTTAACTAATTTTTCAAAACAATTAGAAATCCAATTTTTCAAGTATTAAACAAACAAGTTATGACTTAATATAATTTCTACTATTCTTGTATATGCCCAGTGCATACCATTGATGCTCTATCTAATAAAAGCATACCTTGTTACACTTGTTAATCAAATAAAATTGAATACATCATTATTTTTATTCGGGAAATAGAGTATTTCTTTAAATTTTTATCTTTTCTCTTTCTATTTTCATCAATGACATAATTAATTTATATTCACAATCATAGATGTTAATAATCATTAATATTAATGATTATATTCTATTCTATAATAGAGTTCAAATGCCATTAATATGAGGATATTGTTAGTAGATACTTAAAAGAGACATGTGAGTACATTAGACATTCTTGCAAATTGACGATATGCGATTATGATATTTCAATACATATATTATATTCAAGAAATCACCCTCAACCTCAAAGCTAGGGCTAGGCCAACTGCCAAATGCCAATACTCACTGCTTAGCATGACAAAATACACTAGTTTGATTTTTGACTCTCTTTGACCACTTTAATTGCTCTCTGTTTTTATTCTTTTTTCCCCCTTCCTTTTCAAGTTTTTGGCCCTGAGACCTAAAAGAACCAAACCTAATTAGGTTAAGTGAGCCAACTGAGACTTTGCACACTAGCGAGTTGAATTGTTATTTGCTAGTATAAAAAGTTAATATCAGTAGGAATTAATTGGTAACTAAATATCCACATCAAACCTTGATCTTACCTTACACGTATATCCTTCGGGTTTTCTACTTTTCCCAGTATTATCCATGAAAATGCGTCACTGATTCGTATCCCACCTTGCGAGCTATATTTCAAGTTTTCAACCAATCCAAGGGAAAATTAAAAATGCCAAAAACAATACACAGACATTTTCATGAGAAATTGAACAGATATATACGCATAAAAGCAAAAACATAATTAGGCCCCGCATATTTTCTGTTTTCAAATCATAATATTAGATTAGATTACATTTGATTATTGTATTATTTTCGAGATATTCAAATCTTTGTAGCTCATTATTATATTAGATCATGATTTAGTTTGATTATATTTGTGTTATTTTTATTATTTTCACATCCAATACCTAGAAAATATTATTTTATTTCCATTCTTATGGTTTTATAGAGACTGCTTTTAAAAATGTTTTCTTATTTTCCATTTTCCATTGTCTCTTTTTTATTAATTTTTTTATCTTATTCTAAATTTTATCTTATTTATTTATAAAGAGCCCAGACAAAATACAATATTTACAATACATATATAGTATTAAATAAAAAAAATTAATATATATTATAAATATATAACTTGTTAGTATATTAAGCATACTATCTTATGAATATATTAATAAATATAAATTTCTTATTAATATGATAGGATAGAAACAAAATATACTGTATTATTTTATTGAAAATTTTTTTTATATATGATATTATCCTTTCAATAATAAAAAGATAAACAACCTTACTTATTTAAATTGTATGTTAAAAATAATAAAAAATAATTTATTTTTAGATATTTAGATATTTAATAAAAAGCGGACAATATTTTATGTACAATAATAAAAAATAATTATTAGTTAGTTAATTTTAAATTTTATGATATTTTTATTGATTTATGTTTTAAAAATGATTTATTATGTAATTATTTTAAAATTTTATGATATTTTCATGTATTCTGCATGTTTATGCTCTTCTCCCCTGTTTACCGCATTTGATAATTTCTAGAAGCTATATATTTGAGGTTAGTTCTTAAAACGATCTCAGAAATATGCTTTTTTTCCCATAATCTAATTACTTTTAAAATTTTAAACAAACAACAGAAAAGCTCATAAAAAATGAGTAATTTTTTATAAAATAAGCTGCAATAAACAGTCCTTTATCTTTTTGAATTTAAATTTAATTTGATAACTAGTGAGATAACGATTACTTATTTTATTTGACCCAAATATATCATCATCATTTATTATATACATTAATGATAGATTTTTTTTTTTTCCTATCCTAAAGGCACTCATTCAAAATTTTGAATTTAGATTTCTAATTCTAATGATTGTGCATATAAATATATATATATATGGGTGCGTTGTGAAGGACAGGCATACACACATAGTAATACATAACAATTCTGTCGAAAAGCCCATTAGGTGTTAATTAGGTTAGGACGATGGCCGAGGTTGAGCATGGACGACCAGGACTAGCAGGCTGCATCCTCATCGTCCTTATGGTCTCGTTAACTTCCTTCCTCATGATTTTTCTTCCCGCATTTTTGACACCTTCGAGTTAGAGTTCCGCGTAACAGAGGCCTTCCTCACACAGTTTAATCGCACCACAAGCAGCGACAAAAAACAACAACACATACACTAATCTCTCTTACAGTTTGACAGCCAACATCTCAGTATCACAGCCACGGCTTGGTACAAGCAGAGAAAGTTAACGTCTGTGAGATTGACACCTCTTCTTGTGCCCTGCCAGAAGACCAACGTTCTGGAACCAGCCGTGTTCCAGGGTCGGAGATTGATTGATGATCTTGATGAAACTTACCAGGAGTCAACGGCTAGGATTTATGAGTTCGACATGGATTTGGATCTTCGGATCGAAGCAAGGTATCAATTCTTGTCGCCTGATAAGCGGTTCAAGCCACCGTTGGTATGGTGTCGCCTGAGAGTTCCTTTGGCTTCGAATAATGCTTTCAATATCACCCAATGCTCAATTGATGGAGATAATTTTTATGGTGACCGTGGTTATGTGGGAGGCTCGCTTATTCCGACAAGTTAGCCTTCTGCAACAAGCTCCCTACAAGAAATTCAGTTCTATTTTTATGATTCTTCACATAAGTTGATAAAGTTATATTATTATCTAGCCATCAGGAATAGGAGTGAACTGTCAACCCAAATTCTCGAATTTTTATTTATAACAAAAATACTATTTATTTATTATTAAATTTTCTTATATCTACGTGTTATTTCATATTTTAATATCATTCGCTCTCATTTATCACATTTAATTATTTATAAAAGTTCCTTTAAATAATATAATATTTATAAAGAAAATATATATATGTATATATATTCACCTTTATATTCTTAAGATGTTTATTTTTAATTAAATTGAGATACGTGAATCTTTTATATATTATTTATTTTATAACACATTTTCATTATTAATATTATTAACATTTATAGAATCTAGTTGTTTTAATTATATTAAAAATATATATATTAAGTATGCGACGCTAATTAATCACCTAACTCTTCCCTATTAAAATTTCAGTTGAGAAGTAAACAATTATTAAGAAAATAGTTGCTTATATGCTTACATTTCCAGCAATCTACTTTGCACGTGGCTCTGGAAAAAAATCTTTCAACTATAAATATGATATTTATAACAATTATATATTTTATAAAGATTGATATGTGCGTTGAGCGTGTAATGATCATAATGAAGAAGTTCTTGCGTAAATTGGGAGCGTCACGTCTGTTCTCACAAGTAATCTTATTTTAGTCTTAGGTGGCAGTTGCTTAATTTATGTTATAATATTTTTGAAATATAATACTTGAAGTGAATAAATTATTTTCAACAAATTTATAGAAAGATGAAGATTTATATTTTAAAAATAAAATAACATAAATTAAAAAACAACTCCGCCAGCTAGGATTAATTGTAATTATTACAATTAATGTAGATGTTCCAATGTATTGGCATCCAATTAATATTAATTTAATCAATCCTACTAGAGCAATAAAAATACAGTGATGTTTCATTAGAATCAATAAGCTTCAGCCCATATGAAGAACGAATTTAAATGCTTCTCCCTGTTTTATATATATATATATATATATATATCTTATAAATAGATATTATAATATATAATAAATAAATTAAAGAAAAACAACAATTAATATATGCTAAAAAAATATAACTTTTTTGCATAAATAAGTATACTATCTTATTAGTTTATTGAAACATTTTTATTACTTATTGATATCTGATATATCTTTTCGATTATAAAAAATAAACTTGTTTTTTATTTATTTAAATTGTATATTAAAAAAGTAATTTTTACATAGTTTAGAAATTTTATTGAAAGCCTACAATATTTTATGTTTAATTGCAATAATAAAAATTAATTATTAGTTAGTTAATTTTAAATTTTAAATAAAAATTAAGAGGAGTACCCCCGAGCTCTTCAAACGTACTCTTGAGGGATTTGCAGTAATTCCTAAGAGATTATTTTTTTTTTTGGATTTGCAGTAACTCCTAAGAGATTTTTTTTTTGTTGAGCTCTCCATTTTACTGCAAACATTTCTTCCTTGAAGTGTTCTTAGCGGAATTGAGTCTTTAACTTCTCGATCTCGACTCTGTGTTTCATCTCTCACTTGAAATGTTTACGATACTCATCTATGGCTGCAATCACCCTAAAGCATATTGGATCATTGCTTGATGCTCTTTGTTGTG